AGACATGTCTCCAAAGAAGATATACACATGGCCAAGAGGCACATGAAAAGCTGCTCAACATCACTAATTATTAGCGAAATGCACATCAAAACTACAATGAGGTATCACCTCATACTGGTTAGAATGGACATCAGCAGAAAATCCACAAACAACAAATGCTGGGGACAGAAAAGGGAACCCTCTTGCACTGTTGCTGGGAATGTAAATTGATACAGCCACTATGGAGAACAGTATGGAGGTTCCTTAAAAAACTAAAAATAGAATTACCATATGACCCAGCAATCCCACTACTGGGCATATACTACTGCAGCACTATTTACAATAGCCAGGTCATGGAAGCAACCTAAATGCCCATCGACAGACGAATGGATAAAGAAGATGTGGTACATATATACAATGGAATATTAGTCAGCCACAAAAGGGAACGAAACTGGGTCGTTTGTTGAGACGTGGATGGATCTACAGACTGTCATACAGAGTGATGTAAGTCAGAAAGAGAAAAACAAATATCGTATATTAACGCATATATGTGGAACCTAGAAAAATGGTACAGATGAACTGGTTTGCAGGGCAGAAATTGAGACGCAGGTGTAGAGAACAAACACATGGACACCAAGGGGGGAAAGCCAAAGGGGGTGGGGGTGGGGGTGTGATGAATTGGGTGATTAGGATTGACATGTATACACTGATGTGTATAAAATTGATGACTAATTAAGAACCTGCTGTAAAAATAAATAAAATTCAAAAATTCAAGAAAAAATAATCTGCTGTTTTTTTCTCTTCTCCAAAGACACAAGATAATTATGATTGTGGTTTTTAAAAGTTCTAATAATTTAAAAAAAAACTCTGTACCTTAAAAAAATAAAAAAACAATAAATGCTGGAGAGGGTGTGGAGAAAAGGGAACCCTCTTGCACTGTTGGTGGGAATGTAAATTGATACAGCCACTATGGAGAACAGTATGGACATTCCTTAAAAAACTAAAAATAGAACTACCATACGACCCAGCAATCCCACTACTGGGCATATACCCTGAGAAAACCATAATTCAAAAAGAGTCATGTACCACTATGTTCATTGCAGCTCTATTTACAATAGCCAGGACATGGAAGCAACCTAAGTGTCCATCAACAGATGAATGGATAAAGAAGATGTGGTATATATACAGCCATAAAAAGGAACAAAATTGAGTTATTTGTAGTGAAGTGGATGGACCTAGAGACTGTCATACAGAGTGAAGTAAGTCAGAAAGAGAAAAATAAATACCATATGCTAACTCATATATATGGAATAAAAAAAAAATGGTTCTGAAGAACCTAGGGGCAGGACAGGAATAAACACGCAGACATAGAGAATGGACTTGAGGACACGGGGAGGGGGAAGGGTAAGCTGGGACAAAGTGAGAGAGTGGCATGGACATATATAAACTACCAAATGTAAAATAGATAGCTACTGGGAAGCCGCATAGCACAGGGAGATCAGCTCGGTGCTTTGTGTCCACCTAGAGGGGTAGGATAGGGAGGGTGGGAGGGAGACGCAAGAGGGAGGAGATATGGGGATATATGTATATGTGTAGCTGATTCACTTTGTTATAAATCAGAAACTAACACACCATTGTAAAGCAATTATACTCCAATAAAGATGTTAAAAAAAAAGTACAAAACTGATATGAGGAAAAATTTAAAATACTTCTAAAAAACACAAAAGTAGACCTTAATAAATGAAAGATACCCTTTCTTTTTAGATATGGAACTTCGTATCATAAAGATTTCAGTTGTCCCTAAGTTATTTTATAAATTTAATGCAATTCCAATAAAAATACCAATAAACATTTTTATGGAACTGGACATGTTTATATTAAAGTTTATATTAAAACATGCAGGGTTAGGAAAATATTAAAAATTAAAAGCTCTGAGGAGTCTCTGTCCCTATCACTCATTAAAACACTGTAAAGCCTCTGTAACTGAAATGGTGTGGTACTGAGTCCATGAGTCAACAGGTAGGCCAGTGGAATAGAATAGAATAAAGAGCCCAGAAATAGACCCAAGTATATATGGAAATTAAGTATATGATAAAAGTGGCATCTCATATCACTGGGGCAATGATGGACTTCTTTATGAGTGGAGGTGGGATAACTGAGTAACCATTTGGAAAAAGATAAAATTAGATCCCTATCTCACATCATACACAAAAATAAATGCCAATAGATCAGGGATTTAAATGTAAAAACTGAAACCATACAAGTACTAGAAAAAAAAATATGGGTGAATTTGACTTAAACATTAGTATAAGGAAAGTCTAACTCAAATCCATATGCAATACAACAAAAAAATATTGATAGACTTGCCTACATAAAAAATAACTTTGAGGCTTCCCTGGTGGCGCAGTGGTTGAGAGTCCGCCTGCCGATGCAGGGGACACAGGTTCGTGCCCCGGTCCGGGAAGATCCCACATGCCCTGAAGTGGCTAGGCCCATGAGCCATGGCCGCTGAGTCTGCGCGTCCGGAACCTGTGCTCCGCAATGGGAGAGGCCACAACAGTGAGAGGCCCACGTACCGCAAAAAAAAAAAAAAAAAAGTGAGGGAGTACTCAAAGATTAAAGAGGACATGCCAAAAGGATACAAGAGCCAGACTGAAGGGGCTCCCACTGGCCAAATCAGAAGAAAGTTGAGCACTGAAATAAAGTATAATGGCATACTGATTAAAATAATAATCTATGAGTTCAGAGTGATACAAATAAATAAACAAATGGGGAAGAATGCAAAGTTCTTCCTTACAGTAGAAAGACAACTGATAAATTATAGAAAGAATGATAGAATTAGAAAATCACCATTTGGCAATCATCCTAATATTGATTGAAGCAAGAAGCATTAGTTTTAGCAAGTGCTAAAACCAATAAGCAAAAGTTTTAGGAATAACAGAATACATACATATTCTCAGAGTATCTCCCCATAAAATAATGATTAATTACAAGGGGAAAATAGTAACTTTACAGGGAGAAATGGTGGCCTTAACAAAGTTATCAAATACTAAAGCAAATCAACATGTGCCTCTTAATGTGAAGCATTGAGAAGACAACATCATTTTTGCAGTATTTCTGCGCAAGCCCATAATCTGAATCTAATCATTAGGAAACAACAGACCAACTCCATTTCAGAGATTTTACAGTAACTAGCCAGTACGCACATCATGGGTGTTCAATACATAGATTAAAAGTAGAATTAATTAGCTTTTTAATTAGCTGATGTGCACATTTCCAGAGCAATATTTGCATAAGCTTTTATTTGAAAATTCAGGACATGGGAAGGCTCAGTGAAAGTTTAGTAGTTTCTGGAGCAGTTGGTCAAAGGAGGAATTGTTCCTGCAGATTAGCAGCCATTGTTCCGGCAGTTTGATTTCTATCAGGAAGCCTAGAGAGGAACAGTTACGGAGAGAGGGGCGTGCAAGTGCCACCATGGAAAATTCTCAGCCCTATAAGATCTCCTACAGGGTCTTTAAGTGGAATTTTCAAGCCTTAACCTAATGAGAGTCAAACAGCGCTTCAAAATTTTTCTTTTTACTTTAATGCTAAATTAAAAATTTTTTTCCTGTTAAATTTCATTGATTCCACCGGTGGTGAAAAGTGGATGTAACATAAACTAATCTACTTCATACAAAGAAAAAAAAATTCTATGTATGTAAGAGGGAAACATTCCACATATTAAAGAATAATTTTCAAAAAAAGATAAAATCGTGACCCTAATACATATATAAAAATGAATATATGTTAAAGATTTTATTTAACATTAATGAGAAAACGGGTAAGGTGTTAACACCAGTTCAAAGGACAATCCAAGGACCAGATCAGGAATATTAAATAAACATGTAAGTGGAGGCAAAACTTTTTTCCGGAGGTGGTGAGGATGCCATTCCACTGGATGGAATTCATTTGCATTTGCATAAACAAGAATTAGTTTCCATCGCTACCGGTTATCTACAGCCTATAAAGTTGTAAAACGATTCCCATAGAATCAGATGCAGATAACTTGAAAGGATGCTGTGCAAAATTTCTTCCCCTACAACTGTTAACAGTTATTGTGTATCTCCAGACACAGAGTAGGCAGAGTCTTGATGACAGTGGGAATATACTGGTCATAAGGCTAACTTCAATTCAATGAGCATGTGGCTAAGGGAATTTTTCCTTCCATCCACAGGTTATTTCAGGCAAATTAGATACTATACTTCTTTGGTTCACTACTTGATTCTGGGGGAGCCAGCTCTTAAAGGGCTCATGAACCGGACAAACTAATAAGCTACTCAATGGCCACACAGCAAGCCAATCAAGAGCCAGGGCAGCCTAAGTAAAACTGCACCTTCAAAAGGGCACCGTGCAGTCGGAGTGTGTATTTGACCCCTTTTTGCTAGTGGGGAGGAAATGGCTTCACAGGCGTACGCTATTCTTAAGTGACTCGGAAACATCACCCAGACCTCTGCCTCTTCATCGTCCCCGCACCTGCACTAGGCTGGGTTCTTTTGCTAGAAATAATTTTGCCAGAAATGATTCTTTCACGACCTTTAAAACCTCGTAGCTCAAGATCTGGAGTCGGAACTGGGTTTGGGTTAGGCTCCACCAACTACAAGCTTTTTTATTCTGGAAAAAAAAAAAGAAAAAAGGCAATAATTGCGATTCCTAGCTGCCAGGGTTGCTCCGAGATTTAAAGTGATGAGGGCTGTGAAATATGCTTTGTAAGCTGTGAAGAGTTAGTACAAAGAAAAAATCTTCTCCTCTTTTACGATGCCACGAGGCAAAGCTCTTCGGTGGAAAGATAAGAGATCTTAGCTCCTATCAAGCATCAACGGAGCACTGCAGCAAGGGCTGCCCGAGTTCTCCTCTGGCTCCTCCCCCACCACACCGGCCCCGGCCCGGGTCAGAAGCGGCGGAGGCTCTGGCGCCGGGCTTCTCCTGCCCGCGGCCTGCTAGGGTTGAAATCCCGTGCCGGGGCGGGGCAGGCCCCAGCCTCCCAGTTCCTGATTCTATAAGCAGTGCCCGGGGCCCGGGGGCGCCACAGGCGCGGGCACCGCGGGCGGCGCAGGATGGGCCGGCGCAGCGCGGCGAGCCAGCCCCGAGGCCCCGGGCCGCGGAGGCCGCTCCTCCCCGCCGTCCTTCCGCTGCTGCTGCTGCTGCTGCTGCTGCCGCCGCCCGGCTCAGGCGCCAGGGCCGGCGCCCCACCTCGTCTTCGTGCTGGCGGACGACCTGGGCTGGAACGACGTGGGCTTCCACGGCTCGGAAATCCGCACGCCGCACCTGGACGCACTGGCGGCCTCCGGGGTGCTGCTAGACAACTACTACACGCAGCCGCTGTGCACGCCGTCGCGGAGCCAGCTGCTCACCGGCCGCTACCAGGTACGCAGCGGCCCGCGGCTGGCCCGCGAGCCTCTTAGAAGTGGGCCCCGAGCCCTGGGCGGGTGCCGGCCAGCCGGGATCGGTTCCCCGAACCGGGTCCCAAAGAGACGGCTTCTGGCCCTAGCAGCGATGTCCCGCTCTTCCCCCGGCGCCCCACCTCTCCGGGTGGTGTTTCTGTCTTACGTTTTCAAAAGGTCGGGGTGAAGGGGTTTCTGGGCAATGCCAGATGCGGGGCACTGCGAGTCAGTAGGCTGAAGGTCCGAATGGACTTTGCCGAGCGGTCTTGAAGTGGGAGGATGGAGAGCGAGCAGGCGGGGCACCCAGGAGTGAAGCGGAGAGAGACGGGGAGCCAAGAAAGCTGGGTGGGGAGGAGCGTTAAAACGAAGGAGAGCCCGCAGTGGGTGCGCTTATGGTTTCTGTAAACCCAGCGGTCATAGGTTAGGACTGCCCGACCAAAGATTTATTTTTCCAAGTTCTCAGCAGCCCTGGAGTGAAAACCAAGTTGATTTTTCTTGGGCTGCTGACTTTCCCTTCAGATGTAACCTGTATTGAACGCCTCTGAGCATCTTCATTATCTCTTTTAAAACTTCTCTGTAGTTAACCAGAGTAAAGTATATTTGTAGAGAGCATGCATACATTAGATAACGAAGAATATGAAGAACAGTTGCATAGTGCTTTACTGTTTTTAAAGTTAATTCTTGAAATAGCTTGTGAGGTAGCTGTTATTTTTAATCCCCTTTTACACATTAGGCAGTAGACCTGTAGAGGTTCAATGACATGTTAAGAATTATTAATTGAAAAAAGTGCACAGTGTAAGAGTTGTGAATTAAATTTTATTTGGAGCAAAATGAGGCCTGTAGCCTGGGAGACAGCATTTCAGATAGCTCTGAGAAACTGCTCCAAAGAGGTGGGGGGAAAGGTCAGTGTTACATATGATTTTAGTGAAGGGGGTGCGTGCAGTCAAGTACACGTTTTGGCGGAGGCTTGCTGCTAGTCACGAGGAGCAGATGTCACTGTTAATGATTTTAGTGCTTTTCTAGATATGAGGAGGTGCAAGATTTGGGCTCAAAATGTTCTCCTGAAAATATCTAACTATCTGAAGGCCTGTCCTGCCAGTTTTTCCCAGAGCACAGAGTGCCTTATTCCTGATCTCCACCCTGAAATCCTCTGGGAAGGGGGTTGAAGGTCAGCGGCTGCAGTGACCAGTGACTTAGTCCTTGTAAAGGCAGATGACAAGTGCCAGTTTTTAGTTGGTAGTATCACACAGCTGGAAAGTGGTAAAACTGGGTTTTGTGCCTTTCCTGCATCCACCAGTCATCTCAGGCCTCTAAAATTGGACTCTTCTTTTTTCTTAATCTGAATAAGATTGACATTTTGTGATTATGACCATGTTAAATATACAATAAACAGGTAGTTTGTATGCACTGTTTATTCAACAGCCATACTTTGGGCCCTTACTGTGAAAGTCACAGGGATGTGCCTGAACCTTGCCCTCCCAAATATGTGTTTATGTAGCCTTTCAGATCAACCCTAGCCTCATGTTGTCCTGAGATCAAGGGAAGGGAGGGTTCACTTGCAATAAAGATTCGCACAGTGGTCCGAAGACTTTTAGAAACAGAAATTATGAGTTTTACTACGGACTGAAAAGTAAGTCAAGGTTTGCAGTGGAGGTAAAGGATGGTTCCCTTCACCATCAGCTCTAAGTACTTTCCGCAATTCTAACTGGCTGCTATGTGGAATCAGGAATCTCTGCTCTGTTGCAAATGTCACCCTGGATACTTTGTAGGAGTAAAAGAGCATCTGAATAAAGAAGGGAAAGGAGGGAAGACAGGGTCTGCCCAAATGGTTCTGCATTTGATCTGAAGTAAGAGAACTGAACTCAAATTGCAGAAGAATGGGGGGGCCATTCATTTCTCCAACTTCCTCCCTTCCAACAGTCTTGAACAGGAAAGCAAATACCACACTTAAAATATGTGTTCAGACTGCTTTTGCCTCCAAACATCCTCCCTGATCAGTCACCAACATTCCATCTTGGGAAGAAACAAAACAAAACAAAAAAATGAGTATTTAGAGCACCCTGAGGTTAAGAAGTGAAGGAAAGGTAGAGGCTGCTTATCCAAAAGTGTTTAGAGGCTAATCAGTGTAGCAAGCTAGCCTCCCCAAACATTTTGCTTGGCTTTTCTCCCCTGTTCTGTTTGAGTTCAAGAGACTCAATTAGAAATTATCTTTGTTTAGCAACCATTCTCTTTTAAAAGAGTCAGTATTTCTGGGAGAGCCAAGGAGCCTCACTGGCCTCAGATACTATATTCTGGTACCATTCTAAGCATTTTACATGTATTAGTTAATTTAACTCTTACAGCAACCCGATGAAGTAGGTACTACTATTATCATCCCTATCTGATAACAAAGAAACTGAGGAAGGGGTTAAGAAACTTGCCCAGGGTCACAGGGCTGTTAAGTTGTGAATCAGGATTTGAACCAGGCAGTAGCTCTATAACCACTACACTACATTGCCTACTCAGAATTATTAAAAACATCATCGCAAGAGCTGCTTCAGATTTACTAACTAATCTCTCTTATTTTTTGACATATAGGTCATTCCTAAACATCTCGATGAAAAAAATCAACCCATTAGATTTCAAGTTAGGAATTCCTTATGTTAAATGTAAAGTGAAAATAGGGAGAGAGGTTTCATTTCAAAATGAGTCATGTGTTGTGCATAATTTTAGACAATAAAATGAGGAAATTTGTTGACTATTTCAAAATTAGGTACTTGAAAGAACTGCTTAATAGTCATATCTGTGAACCTAACAATCATGCTTTAATAGAGGTGCCACCTTCCTTAATCATCTAACTTTAGATTAGAAAAATGCAAAGTGATAAACAAGTTTTGACTGTTTGAACTTTGTATTCCCAATAAATGCTGAATTTTAGGGTTTTAGCATATAAGAGTATTTAGTGAAGAGGACCAGTTAAGAGTTGTGAGATGTGGGTTTCAGTCTTTGCCATGTCAGCCTTCAGACTCTGACCTCGAAGGACATCATTTTTCACGTCTGTAAAATACGGGAGTTGGGCTGAACTCTAAAGCTCTTCCTAGCTGTAAATTTTTTTGACTCTATGGCTCCTGTGTCCACTAGAGCAAGTTTCTAACTTGGCAAAAGCACATTACCTACCCACTATCTCCATCTACTGGTAGAAAGAGAGATTAATCTTGCCCAACACTGCCTTACAAGTTGCAGGAGCTGCTTGCTGCGCGGCTAGGAACTTGTTTAAAAAGGAACGTGAACTTGTTTAAAAAGGAACCTTTTATATTGAGACATTTAATTGTTCCGAACCCTCACATTTGAACCTTTTAAAACTTGCATACTTTGGTGAAAAATTCATAGAGTTTAGATGGAGGGGAGAGGGAGATTGATCAGCAGATGAGCTAAGTAGTTACTGGTAATCCAGGAACTAAAATTCAGGTCTCAATATACTTAAGTTAGTTTTCTTCCCACAGCATTATGACTCATTCATTCATTATTTTAAAAATATTTTATAAAATCTATATTTTATTTACATTTTGAATAGGAAATCCATTCACATGGTTTAAAAACTCAAAAGTTTAAAAAAAAAAATCTCTCCCTATACACAGGTGTGCGCACACACACACATTCTGTTCCTTAGGCATACAGTTACCTATCTTTGGAGGCAAACAACACTATGTAAATTGTATATATCCTTCCAAAAGTATTTTATGCATATACAAGCAAATATATATGTAGATATTCCTCCCTCTCCTTTGATTTGAATGGTAGCATACTCTTCTTTTGGGGGGTTCTTTTTTTTTTTCAGTTTCAATGATGTGTAATTGACAGTGTAATGATTACACTGTCACTGTGTAAGTTTAAGGTGTACAGCATAATGACTTGGTGAACATGCACCATGAAATGATTACCACAATAAGTTTAGTGATCATCCATCATCTCATAAAAAAGAAAAGAAAAAAATTTTTCCTGTGATGAGAACACTTAGGGTTCACTCTTTTAACAACTCTCATATATAACATGCAGCAGTGTTAATTGTATTTATCATGTTGTACATTACTTCCTTAGTATTTATTTATCTTATAACTGGAAGTTTGTACCTTTTGACTGCTTTCATCCAATCTGTCCTCCCCCCCACCTCTGCTAACCACAAGTCTGATCTCTATTTCTGTGTATGTTTGTTTGTTGGAGTATAACTGACCTATAACACTATGTTAGTTCCTAGTATACAACATATTGATTCCCTATTTCTACAAATTCCAAAATGATCAGAATGATAGCATACTCTTCACAATGTTTTGTACCTCATTTTTTTTAACTTAACATTTGAAATAATTTGATATTGTTACATAAAGAGCATCCTCATTAGTTTTTATGGGTGTATAATATTTTGGTAGATGGATATATCATAATTTATTTAACTAGTCACATAATGATGGACATGCAGGTTGTTTCCAGCCTTTTGATATATCAGAGAATGCTGAAGTCAATACCTTGTACCTATGTCATTTTGCACATGTTTGAATATATATCTGTAGGGTAAAGTCTTAGAAAAGGAATTTTCTGGGTTTAAGTGTAGAGGCATTTGTAATTTGGATAAATATTGCAAAATTGTACGTCAGTAGGTTGTATCAATCTACATTCTTACCAGCAATATATGATATGCTTATTTCCCTATATATGTATTTTTAAGTTATATTTCACATGCCATAAGATTAATCATTTTAAATATATAAGTCATTGGTTTTTCATATATCCACAAGGTGGTGCAACCATCACCACTGTCTAGTTTCAGAACATTTCCGTCACCCCAGATGGAACCCATTAGCAGTTCCTCCCCATTCTCCTCTTGCCTTAGTTCCTGGCAGCCACTGATCTACTTTCTGTCTCTATGGATTTGCCTATTTTGGACATTTCATATAAAATGGACTCATACAATAGATGTCCTTTCATCCATGTTGTAATATGTATTAT